ACTTGGCACGTCATTACCGAACCACCTGGATTTCCCTCACCTCAACCCAACCCTTGGCGGGTAGTGTAGATTTTTCTTAACGTTGTTGGTGACAACAGAAAAAGGGTTAATATTGCATTCCATGCAGGAAAGAACTTTATCTGGAGTACCATATACAGCAAGACAAAATGAGCCCTGTCAGCTTGGGAAAACATAGTCTTCTGCAGCCCCAATCTCCTGCTTTTTCCATTTACAAGTTTCTCTTCTCCTGTGCCCTTTACTCTGTTCCCTATTGCCTCTTCCTTCACCTACAGGGGAGCGTAAAGGTTATTGAGAAATGAACTGTTACCTTCCTATGGGGCATATGAATAGTACATTAAAACAGAGATGAAAACTAAAGAGAAGAAGCTCTGCTGGTAGAATTTCAGGCAGAATGAATAATGGAAAGAGCCGAGTATTTGAGCCAAAGAGAGTTGGAATTGATTCCCAGTTCTGTCATTTAGAAGCTGACTGTCTTGGGCAAGTTACTTTCCCAAACTGAGTCACAGTTTCTTTGTTTATAAAATTGGAATAATAATACCTTCTTCATAATCATTCAAGGATTAACTGAAATTATGCATTTAAAAGCATTAGTGCAATATCTGACACAAAATAGGCATTCAATAAAGATTAGTTCTCAGAAGGGTGATGTATAAGGATTTGGGGCAAGTCACAGAACTTTCTCAGTATTCTAATCTGTCAGGAACAGAGTTGACTGTGTGTGTGTGTGTGTGTGTATTTGTGTGTATGTATGAGAGAGAAAGAGAGTTTAGAAGAAGTAAGATATTTGATTGCATTGATTTTTCAAAACCCATCTTAAGTACTTTTAGTGTCTGCAACTTCCTGCTATCAGGGAACCTGGAAACTAAATCAGAGGGTCCTTGATGAAAAAGAAATGAAAACCAATGGAACAGAGTGGGTTGGGGGGGATATTTCACCCAGGTACAGATAGAAACATAAGGAAATATTTTTACTCTATTCCTTGTGCTCCCTTTCTCTTTTGGATGACACTGATCAAGTAATAAATTTTGTTTCTCTAAGCATCATTTTCCGTGCTGGTCACTCTATCTGGGGCCAACACATTCTTCTGTAACATATGTTAATATTACTGTCTTAGGATCTGTCAAAATGAAGAATAACTTCCTTCTCTGTGCCAGACCTGGTTTGATACTCTTAATTGCAAAGGGTCAGATCTTTCTTGGCAGCAATATACAGAAACTGGGCATAAGTTCTCACAGATATTTTTTCTCCTTCTCAAATGCAATGCCCAAACAATATTTAGATATTCCAAGCACTGCTGTCCTCGCTCTGCTGGAATTGAGTGTTTGCCATGGTTGGCAGGGCTAGCCCAGATCAGGTGCGGCTCCCTCTGTGATTGAGAGTGGATGCTTCAGTCAGGGTCATCCTTCAGGAAATAAAGAAGGTCCTCAGACTTCCAAAAATAACCTTTCTTTGGACAAGATTGTAGGCCTCTGGTGGTAATTGTTGTTAGGTGCCTATGAGTTGGTTCTGACTCAGAGACCTCATGTACAAGAGAACGAAATACTGCCCAGTCCTGCGCCATCCTCAGAATTGTTGCTGTGTTTGGGCCCATTGTTGCAGCCACTGTGTCAGTCCATCTTGTTGAGAGTCTTCCTCCTTTTCACTGAACCTCTGCTTTACCAGCATGATGTCCTTTTCCAGGGACCGGTCCCTCCTGATAACATGTTCAAAATACATGAGACGAAGTCTCTCCATCCTTGCTTCCACGGAGCATTCTGGCTGTACTTTTTCCAAGACAGATTTGTCCATTCTTCTGGCAGTCCATATTATCTTCAATATTCTTCACCAATGCCATAATTCAAAGGCATCAATTCTTCTTCAGCTTTCCTTATTCATTATCCAGCTTTCATAGGCGTGTGAGGTGATTGAAAATATTATGGCTTCGGTCAGGTGCACCTTAGTCCTCAAGGTGACATCTTTGCTTTTTTAACACTTTAAAGAGGTCTTTTGTGGCAGATTTTCCCAATGCAATTAAAAAACAAACTCGTTGCCGTCGAATCAGGTCCTACTCATAGCAACCCTATAGGACAAAGTAGAATTGCCTCATAGGGTTTCCAAGGAATGGCTGGTGCATTTGAACTGCCAGTCTTTAGGTTAGCAGCCGAGCTCTTAACCACTATGCCACCAGGGCTCCCCCAGTGCAATTCATCATTTAATTTCTTGACTGCTGCTTCCATGAGCGTTGATTGTGGATCCAAGTACAATGAAATCCTTGACAACTTCAATCTTTTCTCTGTTTATTATGATGTTACTTATTGGTCCAGTTGTGAGGACTTTTGTTTTCTTTATGTTAAAGTGTAATCCATACTGAAGGCTGTAGTCTTTGATCTTCGTCAGTAAATGCTTCAAGTCCTCTTCACTTTCAGCAAGCGAGGTTGTGTCATCTGCATATCACAGGTTGTTAACGAGTCTCCCTCCAATCTTGATGCTGCGTTCTTCTTCATATACTCTGGGAAGAAGGACCCAGAGAGCTATTTCTGAGAAAATGAGCCAGTGAAAACCTTATGGATAGCAGCAGAACGCTATCTTACTCTGGTAGAATTTCCCAAATTTAAAAACTCCTTAGGCTTCTGCCCATAGTGAGATCTTACCAGCCCTTTCTTCTGGTTTGTTTGAGATACAAGTGGCCATGTTTTTTATTAAAAAAAAAAAAAAAAAGATTGGAAGACATGTTGTTGCTGTTGTTGCTGTTATGTGCTGTCAAGTCAGTTGCAACTCATAGTGACCCTAAATACAATGGAACAAAACACTGCCCAGTCCTGTGCTATCCTCACAATCGTTGCTGTGTATGAGCACACTGTTGCAGCCACTATGTCAATCCATCTCATTGAGGATCTTTCTCTTTTTCACTAACCCTTTAATTACAAAGCATGAGGTCCTTTTCCAGGGGCTAGTCCCTCCTGATAACGTGTCCAAAGTACATGAGATGAAGTGTCACCATCCTTACTTCTAAGGAGCATTCTGGCTGTACTTCTTCCAAGACAGATTTGTTCGTTCTTCTTGCAGTCCATGGTATATTTAATATCCTTCACAAACATCTTAATTAAAAGGCATCAATTTTTCTTTGGTCTTCCGTATTCATTGTCTAGCTTTTGCATGCATACGAGGTGGTTGGAGAATACCATCCATGGCTTGCGTGAGGCTCACCTTAGTCCTCAAAGTGTCATCCTTGCTTTTTGCAGCAGATTTGCCCAATGCAATATGCCATTTGATTTCTTGACTGCTGCTTCTGTGGGCATTGGTTGTGGATCCAAGTAAAATGAAATTCTTGGCAACTTCAATTTTTTCTCTGTTTATTATGATGTTGCTTGTTGGTCCAGTTGTGAGGATTTTTGTTCTTTATGTTGAAGTGTAATCTTTGATCTTCATCAGTAAGTACGTCAAGCTCTGCTTGCTTTCAGCAAGCAAGGTTGTGTCATCTGCATATCACAGGAAGGAATGAGTCTTCCTCCAATCCTGATGCCCCACTCTTCTTCACATAGTCCATCTTCCCGGATTATTTGTTCAGCATACAGATTGAATAAGTATGGTGAAAGGATGCAACCCTGACACACACCTTTCCTGACTTTAAACCACACGGTATCCCCTTGTTCTGTTCAAACGACTGCGTCTTGGTCTATATACAGTTTCCACATGGGCACAATTAAATGTTACGGAATTCCCATTCTTCACAATGTTATCCATAATTTGTCATGATCCACACAGTTGAATGCCTTTGCATAGTCAATAAGACACAGGTAAACAGCTTTCTGGTATTCTCTGCTTTCAGCCAAGATCCATATATGACATATATCGAACAAGAAAATGAACAGAATGCCGTCAAGCTCAAGAGAGCATGAAGTACACACTTTGCTTATTTTTCAGAAAAGAAAGAGCTACATATATCCCACAGGGAAGAGTGGAGGCCTGGGTTTCGTTCTTTGCTTGAGACTGTTGGCTACAATTTAGTAGTACCCCATTCTTGTAAGAAGGAAAAGTACATACATCGTGGGTTATAAAAGGCTCATCCCTTTCTGATGGTTTTCCTGATACCATCATAATATTCAGAATAGTACTTCAATACAATTACTTCTGCGGGGGTTCTGAACCTCAGGTTCATAAATACTCAAGAAGTCTGTGATATTACTATATCACAATTAAAATAGGTGTCACAACTAAAAATATTCGATAAATTACTTCAGTAAAATTAGTTTCACTTGTAATAGTTAGAATTTTATTTTTTTGCGTGTAAATACATTCTTCTGAAAAGAGGTCTATAGGCTTCGTGGAACTGCCAAAAGGACCCATGGCACTAAAAATGTTAAGAATCCTGGATGTAGTAGATGTTTCCATAGGTTGCAAGAGGTCATTTTATATGATGTTCTGGTTTCATTAATCTAATTTTCAGAGTTATTGGTTCTTCCTTCAGTGGCCTCACCACAATGGTCTCAGCATCTCTTGGTTTGTGCTAAGTCTCTATGACGTGCTGCAGTTGTAAGTCTTTCTTTGGGCAGAACACTACTTTCAATTTGGTAACAGTGCAGTTCATAATGGAAAATATTCTTTCTTCATAATCGTGTCAGCATTTATTGAACAAATCCTATGTGCTACTTACTATGCTAGCCAAAGAGGATACTAGGTCAAATAAAAAACAATCACTTATAAGACTATCAGCTTATAGTCGAGAGAGAGAGAGAGAGAGAGAGAGAGCGTATAATAACTTCCTGATTTATGTTTTCCCCTCACAGATCTTGGAGGCATCTGAGGTTTAATGGGGACTTTCCAGCATTCCAGACTGCTGCCTTGCAATGAAGCTCTGAGTCATGGTCTATGGGTTTAAGGTACTGGCAACAGTGTGGAACCCCAGGACAGCCAACCTCACTAACATTCGCTCTAAGCAGAAGCCCAAAATGAGCCTGGCCTGAAATCAGAGCAAGCACTAGAGAAAAACTTCTTTGTTAATGGAAAGAGGAAAAGAGAAGAGGGCTTCCAAAAAATTGCAACAAACTTTTCACCATTGTAAAGAATCCACCTTCTTTATCAACCAAGCCATCCTATCTAGTGATTCTTGTTCTAGTGGTTTGCCAGAAATAGAGAGTGTCAATCTTTCTGAAAAAATAAAAACAAACACCCCCAAAAATAGACCTGGAACTGTGATACTCTCGAGATGGTCCAGTAGGAGAATTATGTCAGAAAGCCAGTTTAGTCCCCCTGTGATCCCATCCCGCAGGCCTGGATTCAGGGTGTGCTATATCTGTGGCCGAGAGTTTGGATCCCAGTCACTTGCCATTCATGAGCCCCAATGCTTAGAGAAGTGGCGTATTGAAAACAGCAAGTTGCCCAAGCACCTAAGGAGGCCAGAACCCTCCAAGCCACATCCTCCCAGTGGCAAAGAATTCTATAGTCTTCAGGCAGCTAATGAGGCAGCGTTCCACAGTGCCAAGGCCCAGCTGCTGCCCTGTGAATACTGTGGCCACACGTTCTTGCCAGATCGTCTTCTAGTTCACCAGAGAAGCTGCAAGCCAAAGGGTGAGGATCTCACAGCACCAAACCCCAATAGCTCTGATGATCTTGCTAGCCTCAAGAAAGTACCTAGTGGAATCCCAGCCAGACCAAGGACTCTCATCTGCTACATCTGTGGCCGGGAATTTGGCACCTTATCCCTTCCTATTCATGAACCCAAATGCCTGGAAAAATGGAAAATAGAAAATGACCGGCTCCCCAGGGAGTTCCGCAGGCCACTCCCACAGAAAGCCCAGCCTCTTTCAACTGGACAGTCCAGCCAAGAGGGGCCAAGTCAAGCTCAGCTTGTGCCTTGCCCAAATTGTAGCCAGACCTTTGCCCCAGACCGCCTTCCAGTGCACAAGAGAAGTTGTAAAGCTCAGCCTAGTTGGCCAAAAGGTCAGAATTTCATCTTAGGGAGCAAAGGTGGCCTAAATGAGTGCACTGACTCCAAACAGCAGAGGAACATGACAGCACCCACTGTGTCTGATAAGGTAATTCATGCCACATAAGATGTACTAGGTGGACCTGGGGGTACATTCTGCCTCTAGGGGAGTGAGAGAAAACTGTCCCAGAATCAGTCACCTCACCCCTAGGATGACTTTTTACAGTGCTTATTTCTGCCTCAATGTAGTCTGTCCAAGTTGACCCTTGTTGGACTCCAAGGGCCATACCTCTCGGAAAAGTAGATATAAGAACATCCTTGCCTGGTTGGTTCATATTCCTCTTCAGTTCTGCTATATAAAAGAGAGATGGACCTCTTTCTTCCCTGATCCTTCATACCAATAATCCCTAGGAGAGACTATTATTTGCAAATGACTCATTAATGCTGTGTCTACATTACAGAGATATAATTCCCATTCCAACAGCCAATATTTATTGCCGGTTTATTTTAGTCATCTACCTTAGGAATTCATTTTTGGCAATGCTGGGTTATGTTAAGTTTATCTTACTAAAACAGAATCTGTGTCAAAAACCCCAGATGACTTTAGAAATAATTAAATACTGGAGTGCTTTCAGAAATACACATGCTTTGCAAATATAGCATATTTTCTTTAAACACTTACAAGATTGTAGTAATTAAGGTATTAATCCTAACATAGTCACTAAAATACCTAAGTGTGATGTTTATGGTCCTGGGAGGTACTGAGTTCCCTTTGCTGATCTATAGCCTGTGTTTGAGTTGAAATCCAGGGCCTGAACCCAACTTGGGTCATCCTAAAACAAACAAACATGGCTCCAGGTGTCCCCAGCTTATAGGGTGAAGAGTTGTTAGGCCTTTACCTGAAGTTTCATCAGCACAGGATTAGGGAAGAATGGAGGGTGGCTACCTGCAAGACAGGGCATAGTCCATGCCCTTTGTCCTTCCATTAAAGCCAGGGAAGTGGATGTGCTAACCTGGGTCACTCCTTACAGAACGTGAAGTCATGAGAAGTAGGAGATGGTCAAAGTCTTTTCTCCACGTCTTGCTACTTGAAACGCCCATCATGCGGGAACTCTTCAATGGACTTTTTAGGAGAACTAAGGTTACGCAATCTATTGTAAAATCTGTTGTAAAAGATAATACCAGAGGGATTGGGGGGGCATCTATTTTTTTAATCCAATTTTTCTTTTTATTTTAAAATTTTATTTCTTTGGGGTATGTTTAGTTCGATTTTCTAACTTTCATATTTAGAACAAAATGATTGTGCACTTACTGGTTTTGAAGATTCCAAGACAATGATTCTGAAGCTGAAGAGTCAGGCTAACAGATGCTGGGCAAGTTTTCCAATGGATGTTGTAGAAAGAACAGTTAATTTCTTTGACTAACGAAAACCCAAACTCTTAAGTGTGGCATAGGCTACAAACTGGTCTCATAAGCATGATCTGTTTTTCCCATCTTCTGGCTGTTGCTTTTCTTCTAAAAACGTGTGGGGTCCGGATTCAGAGAGGAAAAGAATCTATGTCTCTGGGCTAAAAGTTAGAAACTCCTTTTATGTTCTGACTTACAGCCCTGTTTCTTGACTGTATGCATTTACTTCAAATGTTCTTATTACAGATCTCGAGATAGGGAAGAGTGTGGTCAGGATTCCTGTGCTTGTTGTTGTAACACATACTTTGTGCTCCCAAGAGTGGAGCCAACAGGCAGAGCACAGCGTGTTCTCACTCAGTCACGACTGCAGAGAGGCTGGCCTGGGCTCACGGTTCACATAAGACATCTTCCTGACTCACCCCATCATCTGGAGAGGATAACATTAGTATGAGAGGCCAGCGATGGCCCCTCCATAGCCCATGAGTAGGGACTCCCTCAGAACAAGGGCATCTGGCGCACTTGGTGATGTCAGAGCACGCACAGCCCTGCCCCCAGACCTGAAATCAGACATGTCATTGGGAAACTGGCACCCACTGCCATCAGATGTGCGCCGGCCAGTTTGGGGACTACACAGGCTTTCACAGAGGGCATAGGAAGGTCGTCCAACATAAGGTCTCTTTAGCTGCCAGATTTAAAACAAGTTCAGGTTAATTAAAATGCAGGAAACTCTGAGGTCAGAGTGGCATAAGACTTCCTGGAGAAGATGGTTGCCATTCCACAGTGCTTTTGGCAGAGAGCCTTTTCTGGGTAGTGTAGTTTTCTTTTTTAGTTATTGTTTGATCCTGTCTATTGATGTTTTTTCTTTCTTTGTATCATTTAAAATTTAGATGGTACAATGAATCACCTATTTTGCATCAAGAGCACTACCTTATACGTTATTAGATTTCAGAATGTGATCTGCCTGTGACTGCTGACTTTTGACTGACTGACACACATGCATTCCTTTGTAGAATTCAGATGTCTGCTTATTTCTTCTCATCACTTAGAGCCATTTCCCTCTAGAATCCTTGATCTGACTTCAGATTAGAATCAGCTGTCTTGCCTAAGGTTCTCAAAAGGTTTGATCTCTTTTTTGTTGTTGTTGTTGTCAAAAATATACTCAGTAAGGGGACCTCACACCATCAAGAAAGCAGTGCCAGGAGCAGAGCACGTCCTTTGGACTGGGGTCCCTGCGCAGAGAAGCTCCTAGTCAGGGGGATCACCAAAGAGAAGAAGGCCGACAGAGGGAAAAAGCCTTCCCCTGGAGCTGACACCTTGAATTTGGACTTTTAGTCCACTTTGACTGTGAGGAAATAAACTTCTCTTTGTTAAAACCAAATATATATACACTCAGTAAAACATACATCAATTCAACCATTTCTACCTGTACAATTCAGTGACCTTGATTACATTCTTAGAGTTGTGCAACCATTCTCATGCTCCTTTTCTGAGTTGTTCCTCCCCCATTAACATAAACTCACTGCCCCCCAAGGTTCCTATCTAATCTTTTGAGTTGCTGCTGTCACTTTGATCCTGTATAGCTAGTTCTCAGAAGAGCATAATGCTTAAGGCAGACACTTTTTACTAGTTTAGCTAAACTATTGTTTGGTTTCAAGAAGACTTCAAGGAATATTTTTGGTTTGTTTTAAAGATTACCTCAGGGCAATAGTTTCAGGGGTTCATCCAGCCCCCATGGCTCCAGAAAGTCTGGAGTCCGTGAGAATTTGAAATTTTGTTCTGCAATTTCCTGCTTTTGATCAGAATTCTATAGAATCTTTGATCAAAATGTTCAGTAATGGTAGCCGTACACCATCCAGCTCTTTTGGTTTCGTGGCAAAGGAGGTAGTTGTTCATGGAGGCAATTAGCCACACATTCCATATGCTCCTCCTATTCCTGACTGTCTTCTTCCTCTGTTACTCCAGGTGAATAAAGACCAATTGTCATGCCTTGGATGGCCACTTTCAAGCTTTTAAGACCCCAGGCACTACACAACAAACTAGGAGACAGAACAGAAGCACATAACAAGTTATTAGGCCAATTAACTGGGATATCCCATGAAACCATGATCTAAACCTACAAACCAAGGAGCAAAATCCTTTGAGGTTTTTGGTTGTATATAAGCAATCTCAGAAGCTACTCTTTTTTTTTTTTTTTTTGGTCATTGTTGTAAACATATCACACAACTTTGCCAATTTAACTTTTTATAGGTGTACAACTTACTGACAACAGTTACAATAATTGGCTGTACAACCGTACCCTTAATCAATGCTATTTTTCCATCACTGTTAACCCCCCTTTTCCTCTCCCTCCTGCCCCTGGTAACCACTAATAAACTTTGGTCTCTATACATTTGCCTTTTCTTGTCCTTTTATATAAGTGGGTTCATACAATATTTGTCTTTTTGTGATTGAAGTATTTCATTCAGCATAATGTCTTCAAGCTCCATCCATACTGTAGCATGTATTAAGACTTTGTTTCTTCTACTGGCTGAGTAGTATTCCATTGTATGTATGTACCATAGTTTGTTTATCCATTCATCTGTTGATGGGCATTTAGGTTGTTTGCACTTTGGGTTGTTGTGAATAGTGTAAGGGGTTCAATGTTATAGTGAATTCAGGTGAGGAAACTATTTTCAGAATCCTGATGACGTACTTGGAAAACAATTCACTCTGGTTGGGTGACAATGATTGTTTTCCCTGGCAGAGTGAATTACTTTCTGCTCGGAATGTTCCTCCAACACAGATTGGCTCAGTTCCCTTATGACACAGATGCTCCTGTTAAACTTCAATCAAATCTAAACACATATAAATGTTGCTAAGATGAGTTCTTCTCCAAGACCTTGGTGGGCATTTTGCTTTAGTTCTGCTTTGCCCTCTAACCTCTGTATGGACTTGAGTTGTTTACATCGCTTCTCATCTGATGTATAGGGCTGAATGCATGCTTTCTGATCTCACAAAAAAGTTGTGAAGGACACGGAGCTCTGACAGCCAAGTCCACTAGATCCTGTTTTGATGTTCTGATAGATCCCCCTACTCTGATCCCCAGTGTAGATTTTTATTTAAAATCTGACTGTCCTGGGATTGCTGCTTTCCCATTACATGTATAATGAGCAGCATCATGCCCCCTTTCTTTCCTCTAGGAGAAGAAGAGCCTTCATAAACAATATCTAACTTAGCAAGATTTTGAAACTGGTGTTAATTCCATACAAAATTTTGACTTATTCTATGGGAAACCATTTTAAATTTTAATTTAGCATCTATTTAATAAGATCCTTTGATGTGTCTTTTAGTAAGCTCTTTCCCAAACGATATGGAGAACATGATGATAGAAGTCATTTCTGATCCTTCTTTTAATACGAATGAATAAATTTTAATATTTTCTTTTAATGTTTGTCAAAAATATTGTCCTTTCTAGAAGCTGATGTTATTTCATACTTTGGCTTTAGGCCTTTTCAGGCAGGCTAATTGGAACACAGACTCACAGAGTTAGTTAAATATAACTATAAATGGAAATGAAGCCTTTACCTGATTAACTTTTATTAGTTAGATAATGCTGGGGGATATTTTCTTAAGATTTTGTTTGTAACTTGTGAAACACTCTTCCTAAAAATCTTATCCTATATTACAAGATAGGCATTGCTTTTCATAAGGGAAACTATCTTT